GAAACCACAAAATTAGATCACTGATTCAGGCTAGCAGTTCAAAGTATAAAGCCTCATTCTTGAGGAATTCACATCTCTCTCCTTCCCCTTGGACTCCGAGTCCCAGAGGAGGTATGCAAGGTGTGGATGCGCAAATGAAAGCTCAGAAAAGTCACCCTTTTGGGGTCCTGTGGTGCATCCAGGTAGAAACAAACTGATCACCAACAGCCAAACATCAGACTCTGTCCTTTCCTCACCCTTGGCCTCAGCTCCAGACAGGCACTCCCCGTGGCAGGATACAAGGAGAGCCGAGTCTCAAATCTTTGCAGAGAGGGGAATGCTCAGGAGGCCAAGATAATAGAAACCTAAGGACCCAAATGCCTGGACCCATGCCGCCAGGGCCCGCTCAGCACAAGGCCAAGGGGAGCTCGAACCAAGTTCTGGTCCAATTCCTAACCTGGTCTCGACCTGCCATCTGGGGCATCCAGGGCCCCAGCGCGCACTGGAGTGTGTAATCATGGGAGGTGGGGGTGGGGGTGAGGGTGCTCTGGAGACCGAGGGCTCACTCCAACCCCTGGGGCTATCCACCTGCCCTTCCCTCCCCAAGGCACTCAACCCCAGCTGTGCCAGCAAAGTCCCTTTGCTGGGGTGGGATCGCAGGGGGCAGGCCGGGGGAGGAGTGGCCCAGGGGTGGGCAAACTTTTTGACTCGAGGGCCACAATGGGTTCTTAAACTGGACCGGAGGGCCGGAACAAAAGCATGGATGGAGTGTTTGTGTGAACTAATATAAATTCAAAGTAAACATCATTACATGAAAGGGTATGGTCTTTTTTTTTTTTTTTTAGTTTTATTCATTTCAAATGGCCGGATCCAGCCCGCGGGGCAGTAGTTTGCCCATGGCTGGGCCAGGCCCATGGCCTCTGCTGCGGCTGTTTGCACACATATAATTAGCTCTAATTATCCCAGGCTTTCAGTTTGGAGCTGCACCCAGGGTGAACACGCCCATGGAGCCGCTGCTCAGCTGAATGAATGAGCTCTCTTACTGGCTGGGAAGCTCTATCCCTGTCCACAGACAGCACCCTGTGTCATGTTGTGTGTGTTTGCCCAACTGTCTACAGCTGGCTTGGGGATATCTTTGTGTGTCCTAGGTTGCGTGTCTACACTGGCTGCTCGGAAGGTTTGCGAGTACCAGGCACCGATGAGGAGAGGAGGGGTGGCAAGTCCTACATAAACACAAGCCAGGAGCAGGGGCGAAGGCCAAAAATCCCTGGGATTTCGGATGTAATCGCTAAACCTAGGTGTCCTAAATAGTACTCTGTCTCCTCAGCCCCCTGAGCCATTTCCCAAACCTCAGCCACCAGTGCTCTTCTCCTGCAGGTGGCATAGCCAGGGCTCAGAGAGGTTAGGGAAATCACACTAGGGCACTCTCCAGAGCCTCGGCACAGGATTGGGGATTCGGGTTTCAGGCTTCACTCAAAAACAGGTGTGTGGGGACTTGGGAGGGAACACCTCTAGGTCCTCTTCTCTGTCTGGTCTTGGATCCCTAGCCCTCAGCGATCCTGGTCCTGAGTACTCAGTCCATTGCCCACCACATCCTTCCAGCCCTTTCCCTGAGGCCAGTTCAGCCATGTCTATGCTGAACAGAACCAGAGCACAGAGGAGAGCAAGCTCAGCCCCAGGGGCCTTAGTTGGAAGTGGAGGGATCCACCATCCCGAAGCAGGATTTCTCAGCACACTTGCATTGCCCTTAGGGCTGAGTCCCTCCCTTAGCCTTCCTGGGTTCTCTGTGTCTGTCTGTCTCACCCTGTGCATCTCTCTCCCTGTTCCTTGCTCTCTGATCCTGTTTACTCATTCCCCATGTCTCGATGGGCCTTTTGTCTCTGTCTCTCATCGGATCTCCGCCCGTGGAGAACACCCTTGCTGCCCCCGCAAAGGAACACACACCTGCAGAATCCGCCTTTTCAATAAAAAATGACAAGTAGGAAACAGAGTGAATTAAAAAGATAACTTAAAAAAAATCCATGTGTCTGCAAATGTGTTCCAAATGGCAGCACTTCGACGGGGGTGGCAGGGGCGGGGTGTGTTGGCCACATGTTCTGGAGCCTCAGACTCAGACACAAAGTGTAGGGGGCTCAGCACCTCGCTATGGACCCCTCCCACTAGCCACCTGGGATGGCAGGGTCTGGGGAAGGGACTTAGTCTATACTCACCCTTGTGGACCCCCACCTGATTCTGTAGACCCTTTCCCCTGTTCTGGCATCTGCAGGTCCCTCTTAATCCCCCAGTACCTCCAAACCTTCCTATGCTGCCCCCAACTCTCTTTCTGCACCAGCCCTCCTGCCCCCTCACCCTCCCACACAGATTTCACCCTCTCCCTCTCTCACCCCCAATCTTTTACTCCATACTTCTTCCTGCCCTGCCCTTTGACTCTGGTTCTATTCTGTCCTCCTGCCCCAGACCACCCAGCCACCCTGGCTCCGGGAGAAATGGTTAGAACAAAGCTTTCTTTGGCCAGAAGAGACTCTCCAGGGAGCTGCATGCAGAAAGGCACTCCCAGTCCTGTACCTGCAACTGCTCTGTCCTGCCAGATGCCAATCAGAAATTGTCTCTCTAGAGACAGAGGGTAGCAGAAGTAGGCTGCTGTCCTTTGAAGCCCCTCATCAGGAGGAAACTCTCCCCCCTAAAAAAATAAAAAAGTTCACCCTGCTGCCTCCCTTATCACTTTCAGCAACCCTCTTTTGCCCCTTTCTCTGGAAATGGAAGGATTAGAGCATATATATATCCTATCTAATAATAGACAAACATGGTAATTGACCATAACTTCGCTACACCTCCCATTGGCTAATCAGCACGATATGCAAATTAACCGCCAACAAATATGGCGGTTAATTTGCATACGTAGGCTCCAAACGGTGGAGTGAAGCCTGACGGCCCAGGGCCAGTGGAGCAGCGAAAGCCTCACAGCCGTGGGGCCGGCTCTGGCCAGAACTCGGTCAGAGCGAAGGCCTGGGGCCCAGGTGCCAGAGGCAAACCGGTGCCAGCAGCCAGGGGAAAGGAAGGACTATTGCACGAATCTCTTTGTGCAACAGGCCTCTAATATAAATATAATAAGCAAATCGACAGAATGGCCGAACGACCACTTGACCAGTCACTATGAGGTGCATGACCACCTCTCAGTCCCTCCCTCCAGCTGGCAGGCTGTGATCGCCCAATGGTGAATGAGGAATCGAGGGTGGGTGGCAGCGGGGGGATGGGACCAGTGAGCGGGCAGAATGGCCAACCACTCGGTCCCTCCCCCTGGCCAGCAGGCTCTGATCACCCGATGGCAAATAGGGAATCAGGGATAGGTGGTGGCGGGGGTGGCGCCAGGCGCCAGCAGCCAGGGAAGATGGCCCTGATCACAGGCCAGGCCTAGGGACCATAACCACTCACGAATTTTGTGTGCTGGGCTTCTAGTCTATATATATCAAAGCCTAAACAACTGTTCGACTGTTAGTTATGACATGCATTGACTGCCAGGGGGCAGACGCTCAACATAGGCAGGGAAACATGGAACAGACTGATGAATGTCAGAGGGAGGGGGGAGGGGTAGGAAGAGATTAACCAAAGATCTTATAAGCATATTAGAGGCCCGGTGCATGGATTCATGCACCAGTGGGGTCCCTCAGCCTGGCCTGTGGGGATTAGGCCGAAACTGGCAGTGCGACATCTCTCGAGGGGTCCCGGGTTGTGAGAGGGTGCAGGCCAGGCTGAGGGACCCCAATGATGGATGAATCTATGCACTGGGCCTCTAGTTTTTATATAAAATAAAAATATATATAAAATTAAAAAAATATATAAAATAAAGATAAAAGATGGAATGAGAACTTGTGCAGAGCCTCTAATTTCTAATCCCATGTTCTTTCCACTATATAATTTATCCATTTAACAGATATGTACTGAACACCAACTATATGCCAGGCAATGTTTTAGGTCAATAAAACAGACAAGATCCTGCTCTCAAGGAACCTATATTCTAATTGGAGGTAAATGAAATATTATATACTATACTATATTGGTTCTCAGTGTTATGAAGAAAAATAAAGCAGGTGGAAGGGGAAAGTGTGAGTGTAAGTTTGCTAGTCTACATGAGGCTCTCTGGTGGCTGCAAATATCTGAAGAGGAGCAATGAGAGGGGTGCCAGCAGCCAGGGGAAAGGAAGGCCTATTGCACGAATCTCTTCATGCAACAGGCCTCTATATAAATATAATATGTAAATCGACAGAACGACAGAACTGCAGAACGACCATACAAGGTCAAGGCAAAGGGTACAGCAAATGCAAAATCCCCAAAGCAGGAGGATATGTGGCTGTCATTTCATAACTTGGATTTTTTTTGTTTAGATACTGTATCAAAGAACAAATGTAAGTATACTGCATGGCTTTGCCTGATTAAATGCATACTTTTGACATGTTGACAGTCTCTTACAATAACTATATTTCAAATATAAACAAATTGGGTTGAACTAAAAAATGTCTACAGCCAGAATCCATTGATTTACTTTAGACACCTGTTAAGGGGTCAACACAGTACTGCTGCTGATTTGATGAGATATCTATAAATACAATTAAGCCACTTTTTAAATATTAAGAGTTAGGAGAACCCTCAAGGAAACCTGAGTAACTTCAGGTTGAAAAAGACTGCTGAAACAGAAAGGACAGGAGGAGCCCCCTTTTGCAGAAAGGCTGCCAAGAGAGTGGGAGGAACACTAGAACCCTAACGCGTGGGGGCTAGTCTAGGCCTTGACCCGCTGAACTATCTCAGTTTTCACCAGTGAAGCGAAGAGTACGGCCCGTGCCCTCAGGGCCCCTTTCCTCTGTACTAAGATGGGGTGTTCTGCTTTGCGAACCCTTCAGGTGGGAGTCACAGAGCACAGGGCTCTGCTAAGCCCTCACTGCGCCGCCAGCCTGCACGCCGCCCGTCCGCCGGAAGCCGCCGGGAAAGGGGCGGGGCGCGTGCGTCGCTGGCCCCTCCCACTCGGCCTCAGTGGAGACCGGAGGGCCGGCGCGCAGCACCCACCGCGGCTTCCGGGAGGAGTTTTGGGCTCCGCGAGGTCCCTTCCAGCGCTGAGCCGCCCGGCAGAGGCCGTGGAGACGCCGCGAGCCCTCTCCGCGTCGTGGACGAGCGTCGCGCTCCTCACCATGGGCGAGCCCGGCCTGGAGCTGGCGTCCATGATCCCCGCCCTGCGGGAGCTGGGCAGGTAGGTGCCCCCGGGCCGCGGCTCCCCTGTAGGGTGTCGGTGCTCCGGGGCGGAGCAGCGCCTCCCTGGGAGAGCGGTGGGGATGCCCGCGGAGAGGGAGGCGGCCGGGACTGAGGCCAGGGCCCGGATGCGCTCGCCCCTGCTCACTTCCCGTCGCTGGCTGCGCTCACCTGCTTCTTCCCTTACGTGAGGGACTGCCCCAGTCTCTAGGATTTATGATGGCTCGTGGAGGAATGGGGTTTTTAGCTCCACATTTTGACTCAGAACTATCCATGGGAGAAAAATCATTAGTTCTGATTCTGTGCAAGGAAGGCTAATTGCTAGGAAAGACAGTTCGATTCCTTCTTCGAAGCGAAACCGTAGGCCATTCTGAGGATGGGACCCCTTTCGCTTGGACCACCGGCCCCAATCCCTTATTTCAGTCAGAGAGTCCGGGTCGGGCATGGCGTTCACGAAGTGCACAGGATGTTGCCGGAAGTTGAAGATAATTTAATATAGTTTCAGTTGCAAAAGCTTGTTTTCTGAAAACCTAAGAGTAAAATATAAACCAGTCGTCCCGGAAGAGGGGCAGATTTTTGTCCACCTTTCCCACAGCACTAGGAGGCAGGACTTTCCTGTGTTCGTCTTGTCTTGTCTTGTCTTACCTTGTCTTGTGTTTTCTTTTCTTCTTCCTTCTCCTCCCTCCCCCCTCCCCCCTCTCCCCTTTCCCCTTTCCTCTTCCCTTCCTTTCCCTCCCCTCCCTTCCTGTCCCCTCCTGGCTTCATCCAAAAGGTCCTTCGGCCTGTTGTTCTGCTGTTTGGTCTAGTTAGCATATTAGCTCTTTATTATATAGGACTAGAGGCCTGGTGCATGAAATGTGTGCACAGGTAGGGTTCCTAAGCCTGGCTGGAGATCAGGGCTGATGGGGGCCTTCCTTCATTATGCACCACCTCCTGGTGGTCAGCACACATCATAGAGAGGATCGAACTCCTGGTCTCAGGGTCAAACTCGAGGGGGAGGGGGGGACGACACTTTGCATATTAGCCTTTTATATATATAGAAGAGGATAAATGAAGGGGCTATACTTGTCCTGACAGAATCATCCTATTTTTGTGCATGTGAATTTTTTCACTTTGCATGAGTACTGAGGGCATATTGGTATTAATATTTTATAAACTAACATATGCCTTTCTAAAAGAAGAATACAAGTGCTCATTTTGGGAAGGTGATGTATAGATTCATTATTCAGGCTCAATGCTAAGCTTTTATGTTTTTTCTCAATAATGTTTTGCTTTAATATAGAAATAGCTTGTTAATACTTCTCTTTCCTCATATCTTTACCTCTATGTGTTAGTAAAAATATCTTAGATTTATTTATAGTCTCTTTCATCAACAGTTACCTTTCTTTTTTTTTTATTGCTTAAAGTATTACAAAGAGTATTACATATGTCTTCTCCCCCCCCCAACCAACCTCCCCCCCCCCGACAATTCCCTGGCCTCCCTTACCCCCCAGTGTCTTATGTCCATTGGTTATGCTTATATGCAGGTATACAAGTCCTTCGGTTGACCTCTTACCCCCCCTTCCGCCCCCCAACCCTCCCCGGCCTTCCCGTTGTAGTTTGACAGTCTGTTCCATGCTGCTCTACCTCTGTATCTATTTTTGTTCACCAGTTTATAATGGTCTTTATTATCCATAAATGAGTGAAATCATGTGGTGTTTTTCATTGACTGGCTTATTTCACTTAGCATAATGCTCTCCAGTTCCATCCATGCTGTTGCAAATGGTAAGAATTCCTTCTTTTTTATAGCAGCATAGTATTCCATTGTGTAGATGTACCACAGTTTTCTAATCCATTCATCTACTGATGGGCACTTAGGCTGTTTCCAGATCTTCGCTATGGTAAATTGTGCTGCTGTGAACATAGGGATGCATATATCCTTTCTGATTGGTGTTTCTTGTTTCTTGGGATATATTCCTAGAAGTGGGATCACTGGGTCAAATGGGGGTTCCATTTGTAGTTTTTTGAGGAAACTCCATACTGTCTTCCACAGTGGCTGCACCAGTCTGCATTCCCACCAGCAGTGCATGAGTGTTCCCTTTTCTCCGCATCCTCTCCAGCACTTGTCGTTTGTTGATTTGTTGATGATAGCCATTCTGACAGGTGTGAGATGATACGTCATTGTTGTTTTGATTTGCATCTCGGATGATTAGTGACTTTGAGCATGTTTTCATATGTCTCTTGGCTTTCTGAATGTCCTCTTTTGAAAAGTGTCTATTTAGGTCCTTTGCCCATTTTTTGATTGGATTGTTTATCTTCCTTTTGTTAAGTTATATGAGTTCCCTATAAATGTTGGAGATTAAACCCTTATCAGTGATAACGTTGGCGACTATGTTCTCCCATGCAGTGGGCTTTCTTGTTGTTTTGTTGATGGTTTCTTTTGCTGTGCAGAAGCTTTTTATTTTGATGTAGTCCTATTTGTTTATTTTCTCTTTAGTTTACAGTGCCCTAGGAGCTGTATCAGTGAAGAAATTGCTTTGGCATATGTCTGAGATTTTGTTGCCTTTGGATTCCTCTAGTATTTTTATGGTTTCCCGTCTTACATTTAAGTCCTTTATCCATTTTGAGTTTTTTTTTGTGTATGGTGTAAGTTGGTGGTCTAGTTTCATTTTTTTGTATGTCTCTGTCCAATTTTCCCAACACCATTTATTGAAGAGACTGTCTTGACTTCATTGTATGTTCTTGCCTCCTTTGTCAAATATTAGTTGAGCATAGTGGTTTGGGTCTATTTCTGGGTTCTCAATTCTATTCCATTGATCTATATGTCTGTTCTTGTGCCAGTTCCAGGCAGTTTTGAGAACAGTGGCTTTGTAATACAGCTTGATATCTGGTATTGAGATCCCACCTACTTTGTTCTTCTTTCTCAGGATTGCTGCAGCTATTCTGGGTCTTTTTTTTATTCCAGATGAATTTTTGGAGAGTTCGTTCTAGGTCTGTGAAATATGCTGTTGGTATTTGAATGGGAAGTGCGTTGATCAACAGTTACCTTTCATTTCATTAACTTGTAGCCATTCTAAAAGAATGAATAGAAAAAACAGACCCACAAAGAATTGTCTAATAGTAGTTTGTAATTGTCATGAATTTTTCATTGCAACTGCTTCATTCAAGCTTATTCAATCTCACAGTATCTTCATGATATAGAACATGGAAAATATTATCACTATTAAGAAATGGAGTTACAGAAGTTTATGAACCAAAGGCAAGGAGATAGCAGTTATCAGAGCCCTTTCAGATTCAAGTCTTTAAGGCCTTTTCTCCAATGTTTGTTTTTCTTTGACTTGCAATTCAATTTTTGAAAAAAATGAGATGTCACAGTTCTAATGTGTAGGCTCATATTCCTGTATCTCTTCGGGATAGATTTTGTTACACTGTTTTTTCTGTTAGCACTCTTTCTCTGCATGGTCTTTCTGGGTTATCTCATCTCTTCTCCAGCCAAACCATATCTAGCTACAATAGAGCTACATGTACAACTGTATACCAGGTGTACCGGTTAATAATGTGGATTTCATAATCAAAGAAAACATGATAATTTCAAGAGAAACATCAAAATTACTTTATTCATGTAAATTAACATCAAAGACATTTATTTAATGTCCATCGCTAGCTATACATTTGCCCCATCTTTCAGGCAATTTGTGGATACCGTCCCAATAGAACTTTTCTTGTTTTGAGGCAAACCATTCAGAGACCAAATTTCCACTTCTTTTTACGTTTTGAAGTGCTGCTCAGAAAGTGCATGTGCCATCGATCAGAACAAGTGGTAATCTGAAGGAATAAGATCTGGTGAATACGGTTGGTGGATTAATACTCCCCAGGCAAGATCTTTTAACGTGTCTTTAACTGGTTTTGAAGTGTGTGATGGTGAGTCATCATGAAGCAAAATTACTTTGCCGTGTCTTCTGGCACATTCTGGTCATTTCATGATCAAAGTGTGGTTCAAATTGATTATTTGTTGTCGGTAACAATCAGTATTAACGGTTTCACCTGGTTTTAGAAGCTCATAATATACCACATCTTCTTGATCCTACCAAATGCAGAGCATTGTCTTCTTTCCAAAGCGATTTGGCCTTGCAGTCGATGTTGATGGTTGACCTGGATCCGCCCATGATTTTGTGCATTTGGGATTCTCAAAATCCACTTTTCATCGCCAGTCACAATTCGATGCAAAAAAGACTTTCTTTTTGTGCCATTGAAGCAACATTTTACTGATGACTTTTCGGTTTTCCATTTGTCTTTTGTTCAGTAGATGTGGCACCCATTTTCCTTCCTTTAAAATCTATACCGTTGCTGGTAAAGGATTGGAAATTGTTTTCTGAGCAACCTTTAATCTTTCTGCAAGTTGTTTTTGAGTTTGACACGCATCTTCATCCAATAATGCTTGTAATTGTTGGTCTTCAAACTTTTTTGGTTGACCTGGATGTTCTTTGTTTTTCACATTGAAATCATCACTTTTAAAGCGTTTAAACCAGCGTTTACAAGTATCTTGAGATGGAGCATGTTCACCATAAGCTTCCCGCAGTATACAATAACTTTCAGCAGCACTTTTCTTCAAAATAAAGTAATGAATTAAAACTTCCCGCACCTGCTCTTTTTTTGGCACGAAATTCGACATTTTTAAGCGTAAAAGTATCTTGACATATGAAGTTTTGAAGTTTGCTGTCAATACAACAAAATAGCATACATATCAGATTGCATATATATCAACATATGTGTAACTCCATCTGTTGAAAAACATCCGCCTTATTAACCAGTACACCTGGTACTGCCAGTTTTAACTGAGTGTCCTGTATACAGTTAAGACATAACATATTCAATACAAATTCTCCTCATATCCCAACCTCCCCAAGCCTTTTTAAAAAAAATTCCTCTCATTCACTGAGGTAGGAATATTCCAGTAAGTTATATCATACACTCATTTTCCCAAATCAGAAATCTGAGAATGATTCTTCACTCCCTATGTGC